CACAACCAGACAAGTGAGTGGTACGTAGGCCTCTTCCTGGTTGGTTTGGAATCGTGTCTTTTAGTGTTAACTCTCGTCGAAGAACTGCCGCTAGGTCATCGACCCAGATGTGAGCCTTTTGTCGCATAACTTTGGCGAAAAAACCCCGCTACATGAAGACGGCTTTCTGGGCAGATAATAGTTGAAACACTAGGTCACACGGGACCCTTCCCCCAGGTGAAAGGAAGGTACGATCAGCCACGACCACACCAATCACAATGACTTTCGATTCACATTATATACTGCAAAATGATTTCCGTTGATGTTTGATTATTACAAACTTTCTCTTCTTTATAGGAAGTCTACTGTAGCTGTTCGGACGAAGCTTATGGAGATTTTTGTGAACTGTCCCGGGGAAAATGGGCTCAGTGGTCTCCCTGGTCTGAATGCACTCCGGCTTGTGGGGTTTCACAATATCAGCGAAGAGTGCGCACCCGGGACTGTCTGGGTGANGGGACTGTCTGGGTGAAGCATGCCGCGGAGGTGAGGGACATTTGCAAATGGAAATGTGTAACACACTACCCTGTCCAGATGAGACACTGGCACTCAGTCGTCAAGGACGATCGGAAGAAATCGGAGAACTGAAAGTGCAAATGCTCCAAGCCCAAGCGGCTCGTTGTGTCAAACTGGTGGGAGCAGTGGGGGAAGCTTTGGTGGCCATTTCCTGTGTGTTTGCGGCACTCGCAGCAACCGCTATGGCTATCAGTGTTCATCTATTGGTATAAACTAGACATGAATATAAACTTTTTTCATTAACAAACATTCAGTCCCAAGTACGCTTATCGAACTCGAAATCCGTCAGGATTGGCTAAAGGAAAATGTGAAGATAAACACGGAACCAATGAAACCATGCATTTAGCAAGCTCACACAATTTAAACCTTTATAATGAACGAATATTCGAAGTAAATAGGGACAGAAGTCTCCTCAAAAAGAGATGGCGTAGTTTTTTATCACCTCGCCGAACACTCAATTATAAAAAAGCATTCAGTATGGAGAACGGCGCCCCATAAATATTCCGTCTTTGCATTTTAAATAACAATTGATGATCATGATGATATCCGATTATCGATAGCCTTAAGATTTGAATTCGCTTCGCGTACTTTAAATTTCTACCGTTCACGTTTTAAAAAATCATTCTCGATCCTTTTGGATTATGTTCTACAACTTGGTCGTGTAGTTAAAACACGCGTAGTGCTAAACTTCCATTCTAAGGCTCATTTCATACAGGAATTAAAATCCAACAACTTTATTAGGGAGAATAGTGCATTATCATCCGCCATGGACTGCTTACTGGCTGCATTGTGGTGGGCATGATGATGACAAGTCAGCGAGTTCGCTAGAACAGGCCACCTGATTCAACCAGTTGGGAAACGACCAACTAAAATACTGGATAAAACCGTCAAACGAGAACAACACACAATTATATCACCGCTATAACAAAAGCGCTCTGAGGGTTATTCTGGTCATGGTTGAACTATCGCTCAACTAAATAAAAGTGTCGAAATGGAGCTGATCAACTAGAACTGTGAGATAAATTCGATTTCGCCTCCTCCCCTCCCACCCTCACCCCCTCGCACCAGTTCAACGGCGAACCGAGTCGAACACAGTGAGAACAAGGGACAAAAATAGTCGATGGAGAAGAACACATATGTAAACAAACGGGTACAAGTAGAACACTGCCACTTCACAAGCGCTGATGATGTCACCTCGGCTGGCGATGAATCGTTTGCAAACAAACTGCCAAGCTCGGCGAACAGGCGAAATGGAATTCAATATTTTGTGAGATATTATGGGCTTTTCAATACTAAGTGAATAATTATCTCAAATTATGCAGACAGAAACAGTACACACTGTCTTAACCAACTAATTTCAACTAAAAGACAATTATATTAAGTGACATAAGGGTTGATCAGATACACTTATACCAGAAGACTGGGACTCGATTAGGCTTTCTGGTTGGACAAATCGGGGGTAAGAAACACTGAGTGATACGACTGTTGTAAACACCAGTGCTCGTGAGTTTGCACAATTTCTTCGCAAATCTTATTTAAATTTACTCTGAATATCCTGGTACTACCACTTAAGCTTTATACTTATTTTGTTCTCCGTCGATCAACAGAGGAGAGGGAAGGGGTAAAAAAACAGCAACCACCAGGCAAAGTTGAAGGTTACTCATTTCATAGATCGGAAATCAACTGATACCGAAACAAGATAGATAGAACATGGTCTAGTTACTTGCAACAGCATGGCAGCAGTTGTCTTAAGTTCTCCGCCATTGCCAACTGTCATGACCATGTTCGTTCCAAAGTACAGCATCATCAATCATGTGAACTATTCAAACCGCAGATGAGAGCGGCGATGAAATTCCTAGTTTGTACTTATCCACCACAAACTATGGTCACTTTTCGTCCCCAGAGGGGAGAGATGTTTTATGACTCCTAACCGCTTTAAGAAAACACCTCATGATCGCTCAAGGTGTAAGGTCAATTGAGGGCGTCCTTGAAAAGAATTACTATCAGTTGCTATGTTCACCTTCAGACATTTCCCCAGAGTAATTAATTCAACAGTAAAAAGGAAAAAATCATTGTATAATTTTGATGGACGTAACAATCCTACAATGTGATAGATACGACGTCACGCTTTAATTGAATATGTTAGATTACGATGGAAAAGTATTGAACAATTGCACCTTTATAGTAACAAGGTATTCCTAAAACCGCAAACCCCGTGATCTCAGAATGAACCGTTGCACATACATACATACATACATACATACACACACGCACACGTCGAACGACAGATTCGATTAAAAACGCCTTACCGACTGAAACTGAACGAGCATCCGACAGATCAAACGAAAGTTGACAAGCGATCTCACACCTAGGGCGACAAGGTGTACACAACTTGCCAAGTGTCATGATCCAAAATACGAATTTATTTTCAACAAAAATACAACAATTTCGTATGTACACAGTAGGTGTGAACACGTGCTGAAACTAGATAGTTTCATATGCTGTTGATGGCGGTGAACGGCTAACNTTCCGGAATAAGAGAAAAAACCTACTGGGACTAAGACTGTGAGAGGTGTGCGCGTGTTGATGGATAATCAGACTGCCGAAAGCGAATGAGCAGACCCTGTCAAGGATTAGCTTTCGTCTGAATCGTCCTGGCCGCATTCTGCACGGATAAATTCTTCCAAAACTATCTCATTCCGATTGAGATGTTCTCCAACGCGGACCGTATCATCAAGGAAAAATGGTTGCAGTAGGAGACATTTTTCCTCATCCGGATCGTCTGCAGGTGATGTGAGGTCCAGCCCCGGACGAGGATTCATGCCAACAATGTGCTGGCACAATTGTTTGCCTAATCGACTGGCGCGTTCATGCCAGGCAGCAGAGGCCACCTGCAAATAGAAAATGAAAGAAAACATTCACGGATCATGAATGGCCTTGGTCGAGTGTTACCGCAAAATAGGATAAACACTGGTCTTGTCCCGATTAAATATTGTTCATATGAATCTCCTAATCACCCGAGAAGGAGAATGTGAACCTTTTCAACCAAGACGCAGAATGTCATAAAAACATGGACATGACACTAGAAACTACTGCAATAATTCAAATGTTGTGAGACAAAGAGGTAGCTGAGAATTGTAACTAAATGTTAGTTTTTTGGACGTCGACATTTAACAATTTAAAACATTACCGGTGTCTTATATCACGCCACACGACTCATCATCGTCATCGTACAGCGAAATACAGTGAAGCGAACTTCACTGACGGCTGCCAGACTCGCAATGCATACAAGGTTAGTGGTAAAATTTAAGGTGGACAGGGATCGGATCCATTCTGAGGGAGGGAGAAGAAAATGAGCCACTATAGAGTACGCAATCGAACCCTGCATACACACCGGTTCAAGCATTCTGACCTCATAAGAAACGACAACAAGAACGCCACTGCTGCCGGTTCGCTGCCATATCCTTCAAGATCTCCAACCAACCAATTGTGGAGTCTTTCGGACCCCAACCTGGAAGGTGAGAGACACCTACTCTACCTAATGGCTTCGTGCATTTCTTCGTGCCTCGTCTCCACGTCATCTGTTGACCTCCGCGTGGTTTCCTCCAGCCCGGATTAGCCACAGCGAATAAAGCGCGGTGCGGCAGAC